GTGTTGAGAAAGCAGGTCTGAATGTACTGCACATTCCAGCTACAGATAAGGGCAAGGATCACGTAGGCTTCATCTTTCATCCAAAGCACTGTAGCCCATTATTTCTTTTGTCCATAGTATAGAATGCATGTGGAATTGAACTAGATATCTGTGTACAGTCTGTGTATGTCTCGCTTGCTTCTGCGCATCCATAGCTGATTACAAGTCAGGAGTGCTGTGCAAACAGCTCCTCAGCTAGACACTGGTTCAAGTGAAAGTAGCTCAGTTTACCCGCTGGACTGCATACACACTCCAGACACGACCCCACCACATTCATTCCAGCTCCCAGAGCAATGAGTGACTGGCACAACTCCCACTCCACTGACAGCCTCACAAAGGACTGGCCCATCAACATGCCCATCATTGTGAGAGGTGCTTCATGTGACGAAGTCCTCGGGCTGTCGCCTACAGGATTATGTCTCCATTATGGAATGGGCACTCACCTGGATCGAAGGTGGTGCCGGAACCAGAAGTCAACATTCCCGATTGTTTCCATCCTTTCCTCCTAGAGCATTGCCATGAGTTTCTAGGTGTTTTTCCATCATGGTTGCCACTTACAATATAGAATATGTGCTGAATTGGAAATAGTGAGTTCACATTTTAGGGAAAGTAGATAAAAATAATCAGTGACCAATGTGTCTTCACATATGTCCTTTCTCAGTGTTTCAGTCCCATGTGGCAGAAAGCAAGCAGAGCCATTTTCAACCCAGCCACACCCGGGAGTGATGCAATGGTAGATGAGATGCAGGCATGTTCACGCCTCTGGATGAACAGAGCTAATGTTCAGAGGGCCTTCCCCCAAGACACATGGTGGGAGGTTAGGGTAGTTTGCCCCTTATTCTATGTTTAGGGAAGGAACAGCCAGCAACTTGTTTGTTTAAGTAAAGAAGTTATGTGAAGTAAGATGAGTTTGGAGTTATTAGGAGGGACCAGACACTAAGGACCTTGGGAGAAGGGAGAAGGACTTGGGGAAGAGGGAGCATGCAAGAAACATTTCAGGACTAGAACCAACAGCTCTGAGTTGCTGACCCTCACATTCTTTGAGTGTTTACCATGTGCAATTTAAGTATTTTACAGGTACTAACTTACTTAATCCTCACAAATCAAATGAGGTGGGGATATTATCGTCCACCTTTTATGGGAGAGGAAACGGAGGCACAGATAAACAGAAGTTATTTGTGAAAGGCCACTAGGATTTGAACCCAGCTGTCAACGCCCAGCACCTGCATTCTGCACATAGGCCGTGCAGGCTCTTTTCCAGTCTGGGGCCACGGGAGATGGCGGTGTCCTGGCTGGGATGGGAGTCAGGAGGAGCACGTGTGTGGAAGGTGCAGTTGGAGGAGGGTGTTTTGGACACGTGTAGAGTTTGAATGTTCTGCCAGCACCTCAGGTGGAGAGGTCCAACAAGCTTTGAATCCCAATATGGAGAGAGAGCTGGTTTTCATTAAAAATAATGAAACATCTGTAAAAATACTGTTGGCTGAGTTTCCCAGTCAAGCTATTCAAGAAAGGCCTTCTATGCTAACAAACAGGAAGCCCAGGCTCCTGCTGAAGGTTTGGCCAGAGCTTTAGAAAGAGCAGGTTCATTAGCAAGCTGTTCAGGGTCTCTGGGCTCATGAAGGTCTGCAAGAGAGACCAAGCCCAAGCCTTGAAAAAGGAGGATGGGATGGATGGGTCTAAGGCCCCCTCAATTGTTCTGAATGCCCCCCTCATTCTAACCAGTCTGTGCTTCTCATGTTGCCTGCCCATTGGAATCGCCTAGGGCAGTGGTCGGCAAACTCATTAGTCAACAGAGCCAAATATCAACAGTACAACGATTGAAATTTCTTTTGAGAGCCAAATTTTTTAAACTTAAACTATATAGGTAGGTACATTGTTATTAACTTAATTAGGGTACTCCTAAGCTGGCCTTTGCTAAAAACGTCCTCAATCTGATTGAGGTACATTCGCTGAGGTTGACCCCTTCCAACTCTCCCATCCACACTCGTCTGGTATACTTGTTTCGTCTATCAGATAGACTGACTTCTGCACATGGGCCACGAAGTTTCAATCGCACTGGCCTAGGGAGTTCAAAAAAACAACTGATTCCCTGGCCTCATCCATAACTAATTAAATCAGACGATGTCAGCTTAGACACAGGCAGTTTTGAAAAGCTCTCTAGGTGATTCTAATGTGAGGCGGGGGGTGAGCACCAGAGCACTGGAAGGAGGGTTTGTCTTTAAAGATGGTCAGAGCAGAGGGTAATGACTAACGTCTACAAAGTACTTTTCAGTTCATAAAGCACTTGCACATACATGGCCTTATTTAAGGAGCATCTTATTATTATCCACTGGTTGGATGGGGAAACTTTGAATCAAAAAGAGAAATTACTCGCTCAAGGTCAGAACAGACACTTAAAAAAGCTAGAAACCAGATCTGCTGACCCCAAATTTGGGTTCCTTCATTAGACCACATAGGGCAATACTACAAATAGAAGGCCAAGTTCATCTGTATTCACATAGAAAGGTGAGGATATAGGTATTTTTTCAAAGAAATTATGGTCCACGGGATTGAATCTAAAAACAGAGCTGCAGCTTGTGTGCCAGAGCATAAAGGAGTGGAAGAGTCTGAGCTAACCAGGCCCAGAGCTGGTGAAGCCCAGAGGGCCCTGCGGCCAGGCGGGCGTTGGCTGTGGGGAAGGCTCAGGCAGGGCTGAGTGGAGGCAGAGTCAGGAAGTGAAGCACAGACAGAGGCCTGGAGCGGCCACAGCATTGCCCAGGGTGAGGAGGCCTTTGGGCCACCTATAGCTGGTAGTGGTGGAAAAGGCAGATCTGAGTAATTCCTGGAGGCATTTACCAGTTAATAGAGATTCTTCTGGGTCTTCAAAGGGACCCATTATCTTACTAACCAGATAATGAACACCTGCTAATTTGTATAGAGCTGTATAATTTAAAATACAGTATCTTTTTCCATTTTCATAATGGCTTGTAGTATTATCCTACTTGAGGCATTGAAAGATAACTGAATGTTTCTAGTAAAATGCCCAGCACATAGGAGGTGCTGAATAAATATTAGCACCTTTTGTGGTTCTTTTATTTATTTATTTATTTTAGATGAATCTTAGTCTCATTTTATTTATTTTTTGTTAATCCTAACCCAAGGGTATTTTTCCACTGATTTTTAGATAGAGTGGAAGGGAGGGGGAGAGACAGAAAGAAACGTCAATGGGAAAGAGATACATCGATTGGTTAGTTGCCTCCTGTACGCACCCTGACCAGGGCCAGGGATTGAGTCTGCAACCTAGGTACATGCCCTTGACCATAATCAAACCCAGGACCCCTCAGTCCACAGGCCAACGCTCTATCCACTGAGCCAACCTGGCCAGGGCTGTGGTTAGCGGTTCAGTGATGCTGAGTACAGTCCGGTGTTTAGAGTGTGGGCTCCAGCACCAGCTCCACCTATCTGGCCATTAAATCTTGGAAGCGTTAGTCATTTATCTGCACAATATCTCTGTTTCTTCTGGTGTAAAATAGAAATAATATCTGAACCTATTTCATGTGGTTCTTAGGAAAATTAGATAATGCACGGAAAACTCTCAGCATAGCTCCTGGCATCTAATCACTATTCAATAATATTAACAAATTCCATTAAATGTGACTTGCCTCAAATCCCCCCCGAATAAGCCAACACTGAAGCCTTGGCCAGTGCTCTTTCAGCGACACTCAGGCAGCTTCCAGTGATAATGGACATTAACCCGAGGAAAAGGAGCAACTGCATTTCAGGCACTGACATCAAGACAAGCACTTTGCAGGGATATAATGAGGCTGAGTGGGGCTAGTAACCGCCTAAGGTCTAGGAAGTGGGGGGTGGCATGTGGCAGTCACACTATGTGACCTCTAGTCCCACACCTTTGTTCTCAGAATCATCAGGCAGGCTTGTTAAAATCCAGATTCCAGGCCCGTCTCCCAGAGGTTTTGATTCAGCAGGCCTGAAAATTTGCATTTCTAACAGATTCCCAAGTGATGTCAATGCCAGTCCAGGGAGATCACATCTAGAGAGCTTGGTCTACACAGAACTGTCTTCTGCTCTGTGATTCACTGTGATGAGATGGGTGGTGCTCTAACATCTGCATAAACTCTGCCACCTCTCAGGCTGCCACGAGCTCCAGGGCTGCCGTGAGGCACGCTCAAGAAATGTTTTGGTGAAGCACTTCAGGGCCTCATGACACACTAACCACAGCCTTGTCAGGAGGCAGGTATTTGTCAGGCATGATTTCAGAGCCAACACTCCCAGTTGAGTGTTTTATTTTATTTATTTTTTAAAATAGATTTTCATTGATTTCAGAGAGGAACGGAGAAGGAGAGAGAGATAGAAACATCAATGATGAGAGAAAATCATTGATCGGCTGCCTCCTGCATGCCCCCTACTGGGGATCTAGCCTGCAATTCGGGCACGTGTCCTGACCAGGAATCGAACCGTGACCTCCAGGTTCAGAGGTCAACACTCAACCACTGAGCCACGCGGCCGGGCTTGAGTGTTTTATTTTTTATTCACTTGACAGAAAACATACATTAGATCCTAGAAAACACCATGCTACAGGTTTAACGAGTTGCCACTGCACAAAACTCTTCTGGGCATGCTACAGGTTTAACGAGTTGCCACTGCACAAAAGAACTCTTCTGGGCTCTGAGGACAGCTCACCAAAGAGAAGGAGAAGAATCCTGCCCCGAAGAAGAGGCTGGCTGCCAGGCTTCCCGGGAGCCCATCCCACAGCCATACGGAGCCGTGACATTCACACACACGCTGGACAGCATCACAACAGTGGTCGTGTTGGGAGGAAGGGGTCTCCTGAACTAGAAGATGGACTTAAAACCAGGGTGTCCAGACAATCTATATACACTACAAACATATAAATTAACAGGTTCATATGTATACAAAATTCTTGAAAGGGGGCTTAATTTCATTCTATGGCATGCCAGGTATTTATCAGAACCTTGAAAACAGGTGGTTTTCAATGGAGCCGGTATTAAAAATAAAAGGTATTTATACATGGGCCCTGCTCCTCTCGTGTGCACCATGGAATCCTCTGGTGTTGTCAGGGCCTCTGGGCAACCTCAGCACCCCCACAGGCAACCCATCTGCACTCTGCATCTTCCGAGAGAGCAGGGGACTCGCTCTGGGGCTCTTCTCCTGTGTCCCCATCTCAGCTTGGCGGCGCCTCCGAACCCAGGGGCTGCCAGAGGGAGTGATGCTGCTGTCGGAGGAATAATCCATGCACTTGCGAAGGATCTCAGGACTGGTGCTACAGTTCAGCCTACCTTCCTCGGCCAGTGGGGATTTTCTGGAAACGCCTCTGCGTTGAGCCAAGGGGCTGCTCCAAGGACTTGAGCACGGAGAGGCATTTGGACTCAGAAAGAGATTCTGGTGGCCAGAAGGGCTGAGTTTATTGGTGACCACATGCCGCCGGCCAGCCATAGGGGACGTGGGATTGCTCTCGGGGTCGGAGGAGCTGTTAGCAGAAGACTCGTCACCCATGTATTGAAGCTCCTCAACTCTCTTGTTCGGGGACTTGTTCAAGTGGATGCTCGCAGTGGGCTCCTCATCGTGGGTCTTGTCTTTGGGAGGTTTCTTTTTGGGTGGCTTCATACCAATCAGAACAGTTTTCATGTTCTCTTTGCCCTGAGATTCCGTGATCATAAACTCATGGGCTTTGATGGCGGCTTCCACCTCCTCGAACTCCACGATGGCACATTCTTGGGTCCCCACCTGGCTGTACCGGCTGCTAATCCTCCGAATGTCAGGGGGCAGCTCTCTCCCAGGTTTGAGGATCCGCACTGATGAAATGACGCCAAAGGTCCCAAAGAGCTTGAGTAGGTGTTCCATCACCTTCTCTTGCACCCTCCCATTCTTCTGCGGGGCGCCCAGGGCCCACAGCTTAGGGGACAGGTAGAGATCATAGACCAGGAGCATCTTGCTGGGGAGGTTCTCATTGGGGAAGAGAGGGACAGGGGTGGTCCTCCTCACCTTCCGGTGGTCCTCATTCAACTCCAGGGTCACCGAGTACTTGAGGGCATGTGCTGTGGTTCTCCAGTCCCGTGTAAGGTGTTTCACCTGAAGAACACAAAGCAAATCTGAAATGTCACCCAATGTCCTGGTCTACCTTGTGTCCTCTGTAATCTCCCTCCCACCTTTCCTTATTCCCAAGGACTGGTATCTACAATCATACCAGGTGTGAGCAGGCACTCAAAAATCTAGTGAATGAATGAAGGAACAAACACACTTTGCAGAATTTCAAATGAGGCAGCACAGTTTAGAGCAGTGCTGTCCAAAAGAACTTGTCATGCTGATGGAAATATTCTATCTATTCTGAACAAGTTTAGAGATTAAACCTGCAGGCTCTGGACCAAGGCTGTTGGATGCACAAATGCAAGGCTCACCTCTAACTGGCAGTGAGACCTAAAAAGTTATTCAACCTCCCAGTGCCTCAAATTCCTCATTTGTGAAATGGGGATGTTAATATGCCTACCTCATGGAGTCAGTCTGAGGATTAAATGAATAAATACAGGGTGTCTCCCCAAAAATGGATATGCACTTTGAATGATTATAAAATCAGTGTTTATTAGCATGCAGTTCATTTTCAAAATTTAAAAGAATCTACAGAAATGAATCATTTGTTTTGCCAATGCTTGTTTTCAAACTGATGACCTTTCTGAAGTTGTATATCTGCATTTATGCCTTTGCTACAGAGGAGGTTCCAAAAAATGTTTCATATTTCACTGCAATATCTCCTGGAAATAATTTGAGCTGTTTCAACTTGGAATTAAATGCAACTTGGGCCTCATGAAGAATGATTCAATAGAGCCCCTCCTCACAGTGGAAAGTGTGGGTATCAATGTTGCAGTATGTGAAAGCTATATTTATATGGTAAAACAGTAATTTTCAAGAGGCCCACTTTCAGTGAGGGAATGCCAGGAAGAGTGAGTCATCCTGAAGAAACGGTGGAGACGGGTGGGGTGGGTGGCCTGATCCAGGAATGGCGAGATCACCCCGAGTCCTCTGAGGCCAGGCCAGAGCAAGCTGTTCTGCAGAGGAACCAAAGCAGGAACTTCCCAGGACTCAAGAAGGAGGACTCCCTCACAGGGCAGCATTGGGAGGACCTTGGCAGAGCTCTCAAGCGCACAGGCAGGCTCCTGAAAAGAGGACACTTCCACTCTAGCCTGTGGCCTCCAGATGAAATAACCGGGTTTGTGCTTAGGATGTGGGAACCACAAGTCACCTACACACAGACAATGGGGCTGATCACTGTGACCCAGGCTAAGGGCAGAGAGAAGTGGATCCAGGGAAAGAGTTGGACTGGAGGTGAGTAGATGTAATGAGGGATCCAGAAAGGGTGAAATGATGACCGCAGGTCAGTGCCAGGTTGTGGGAGAGCCAAACAGTGGTTCTTTTGAGGGTAGAACATGGGGAGCCTTCTCCAAAACAGGTCAGGGAGGGAGACTCTGGAGAGGACAATCTACTGCCTAAGCCCGGAGCCTGAGCGGACGGTGCCCAGAGGCGGCCAGTGCTGCCTTGCTCAGAGGGCTGGAGAAGTGGCCGCTGGCCACGGCCAGTGGAGAGAAGAGCAGGTTCTGGCAAGCACCCCTCCAGAGCCGGGAGCAAGGTCCATGAGAATCTCAGTCTGAGCGGCCCAGGCCTGTGTCTGAGCTTTTAGGAGTGGCCAGGCACCTAAGAAGAGGAACCAGGGAGCTGTGGGCTTTGTGCAATTACTGAAAGAACTTTGTGAGATTTTAAAACACTGTCATTTCCCTGTTTGTTACCTTTGTCATATAGGTTTGCTATTATGATTAGCAGGAAACCCTGTCAAAGGAAAAAGGTCTTTGCTCTCATTTTGGAGGCATGGGGGAGTCTGTGTCCACTCTGCGGCTGGTTTTCAACAGAGAAGACACCTCCTCAATAGATACGTAAATGGCAAGTTAAAAAGGAAAGAAAATCAGGATGACTCTTAGGGCGTCTGGGGAGGAAAAAAGAAATGTATAGGATGATTCCACTGGCTGCTGCATTTTGGGGCTCCCGACACTGCACGTGAAGGCTTGCTCACTGTTCTCTGCACATGTGTGATACTGCGATTTATAATAAGAAATATATGTATTTGGTCTTCATTCCCATTCCTGGCACTGAGCTCCTGAACCCTTTTGCCAAGTCCTGAGGGATCAGAGCACTAGCAGCATCTTTTGTTCTAATGAGGTGACCCTGGGTGGGCTCCCAAAGCTCCTGGATGGGGCTGGTCACCAGAGAGACTGAGTCATAATTAGAAGCTTAGAACTTTCAGGCCTCTGCCCCATCCTCTGAGAGGGGAGAAAGGGTGGAAATGAAGTTAATAATGATCACTTTTAGGTGAGGAAGCCTCCAAAACAATCCCAATAGTAGGGGATTTGGAGAGCTTCCAGGTGGGTGAACACATCTGCCTACATAGAGGGTGGTGCACCCCAACTCCACCGGGACAGGCGTTCCTGTGCTCAGGACCCTCCCAAATCCCATCCCTTCTATCTCTTCACCTGGTTATTCATCTGTATCCTTTGTTATGTCCAACTGGTAAATGTAAGTGTTTCCCCGAGTTCTGTGAGCTATTTTGGCAAATAATCGAATCCAAGGGGAGGAGGCCACAGGAACCTCTGATTTGTAGCCAAGTTGGACAGAAGTTGTGGGTAACCTGGGGACCTACTACTTGTGATTGGCACCCGAAGTGGGGGTCAGTCTGTGGGACCGAGCCCTTAACCTCTGGGATCTAATGCCATCTCCGGGTAGACAGTGTCAGAATTGAGGTGAAGTGAGGACACTCAGCTGTGTCACAGAAATGCTTGGTGTGGGAACCCTCCCCTCACTTCTATTGAAGTGTGAGTGTGGGAACAGTGTGGCAGCAAAGGAGGTACACAGGAGGAGGGTAGGTTTTTCCGTTGTAACATGAAATGTCCCTTCCCCTCTCCTGTATGTTGAAAACTCCTACTCATTCTCCAAGATCCAACTTTAATGTCGCCACTTCTGGGAAGACTTCCCAATTCTCCAATCAGGATTAGTTGCTCTAAGCAACTCACCACCAACAGTGCTTGCTTTCTTTCATGGTGCTGTCTAAGGTCATATTGTAGCCCTTCACTAGTCTCTCCTTCACTGGACTTTGCAAAGGCAAGGGAATGCCAAATTCATCTTGTATATCCTGTGCCTAACACAGGACTCAGCATACAGGATGAGTATGCTTGATGAATGAATAAAATAAAGAGAACAACAGAAGAGGGCAGAGCACACCAGGACCCGAGGCAGAGAAGCAGTCTGGGAGAAAAGCTGTCCTAGGTGCTTCCTGACAACTTGGCCAGGACCTACTCATTACACATTTCATTATACAACAGTCAGCGTAGTGCTTTTCCATTCTAGTAAACACACTTCCCTCAAGGGAGGCAGAGTTCTGAGGCCAACTTATCTGTCAGCTCTTCGAGAAGCAGGCAAACACGGTCCACTTGCTGGATGTGTACACAGCAGGGCCATGCGGTCTGCTGCCCAGACGGCAGCAACAGGCAGATTTCCCACATCTCCATCTACAGATGAGGGTGGCATTGCACACAAAGGCGGCTGAAATCTTGGAGAAGGGCTTATCTCCCAGAGTTCTGAGCACTCCTTCCTCCTTTTATTTATTCAACTATACAAATGAAAAGCTTGAATGCATATAATTCTAGGCCTGGTAGGTGTCTCAAAAGGCCATTGCTGAGATCTGTCCCCAAACCCAGGACCCTTTTCATAGTGTGGGACAATCCCAAATCCCTCCTCTTGATCATTTTTCTCTTTTTTCAGGCCTCAGAGGAAGTAAAAAATTACTAGTCATTACGTTTGAAAAGGGCAAAAAATATTTTGACCCATAACCCCAAACAGCCTTGAAACCCTTGGGGCAGCTCTGACAATGAGGCCTCACCTTTTTGAAGGATGTGAGTAGCTTAACACTCACATATCCCAACTTGTTCCTCCTCACGTGCTTTAGCAGGAAGGCATCCTTTTCCAAGTTTTCATCGGAAAAGTAGAATTCGATCTGATCCACCAGTTTCCTGATTAACTCCTCGTCTGGAGGCTTCCACTCCTGCTCCAGGTCCTCATGCTCATTCTCGCCCCCACTTGTTGTGGCGCCACTGAGACCAGAAGGAGACACTGGGTGTTATGAGCTGAACTGTCTCCCCCCACCCAGAATTCATACGTTGAAGTCCCAACATTCCCAGCTCAGAATGTGACCTTATTTGGAAAGAGTCTTACAGGTGTCATTAGTTGAAGAAGAGGCCAAATCAGAGCAGGAAGGTCCCTAATCCAGTATGACTCGTCTTTAAAAGGGGAATCCGGACACACAGGGAGAATGCTCTGTGAAGATGAAGGCAGCGACGGGGAAAGGGGAGCATGCAGAAGTCAAGGAACATCAAAGACTGACCAAAAAATGCCTAGGCCAGACCCTTCCATAGCACCTTGAGAGGGAGCATGCCCCCACTGACACCTTGATTTCAGACTTCTGGCCTCCAGAACTGAGAGGCAATAATTTTCTGTTGTTCTAGGCCAGTGATGGCGAACCTATGACACGCGTGTCAGAGGTGACACTCGAACTCATTTTTTTGGTTGATTTTTCTTTGTTAAATGGCATTTAAATATATAAAATAAATATCAAAAATATAAGTCTTTGTTTTACTATGGTCGCAAATATAAAAAAAAATTTCTATATGTGACATGGCACCAGAATTAAGTTAGGGTTTTTCAAAATGCTGACACGCCGAGCTCAAAAGGTTCGCCATCACCGTTCTAGGCCCTCCAATTTGTGGTGCTTTGTTACAGCAGCCCTAGGCAATTGCGCTGGGCCATACCTGAATTGGACTCCACAGAGGGGGTGATCACATGGCCACAGGGGATAGGTTTTGCTTCCAAAAAGCTAAGAAATCATGCTTTTGTTTTTAACAAAGAGGGGGGACCATTAATACAACAACACCCTCTACTAATATTTATGTGCTGCTCTGTTACCCGGTGCTTTTCACAAGACACTCTTTATCCTTCCCTCCCCACCCCCACCCTGCAAATCCTGATTTCCAGAAGATAGTTTGGCAAAGTGACTAAGAGTCCCAGTTCTAGAGTTACACTGCCTGGGTTTGAATCCTGACACCAGCATTTATTAACTGAGTCAAACTGGGCAGGAGCTCCACTGCCACACCTCGGTGCCATTTCTGTAAATTGGGAGTCACGATAGGATTATTGTGACGGTTAGATGGATTAAGACATCCCATATCCCGAAGAGCTCCTGCATACCCGTAGAGCTCAGTGAACGACAGATACATCCATTTGCTCATTCATAAGAGGCAGATCTAGGATCCAAACTCAAACTGTGTCTCCAAAGCCAGCACACACAATATTTTCCAGGTTTCGTTGGGACCCTGCCCTGGAATCTGAAACAATCCCACTCACTGGGGGCTTCTAAATGAAACCCACACCCCCAGCAGCTCCACCTGGATGACTTCCCCTCCTGAGAATAGACCATGAGAACAAGCCAAGGAAATCCTGGGCAAAGCTTCTTCAGGGTGGTCAACCTTTCACAAAGGGTTATAAAAACTTCAAAGCCATAAATATTTAGGGAATGTGTGATTATCCAAATCATAGTGGATATCATCATTATAAGTTATCAAAGGTGAGTTATCATTTGTACATTTATTAGCAAATTAAATTATGCATTATACAAATACTACATATACTCCACAATAAAAAGGATTAGTTAAAAATTACTTCCAGAAAAAAATATAGCTGCTTTCCTATGTGGTAGCTTTATGTCCAAGAGCATGAACACCCGACCCACAGCTTCCATTACCATGTTCTGAGCAGAGAGAACAACTGCTGGTACAGACACACACACCTAGTCCACTGAAAGCATCAGTGTGCTTCTACTCTGTTGGGAGAATGTGTTCCCAACCACATTATTCACAATAGCCAAAAGATGGAAGCAACTCAAAGCCCATTGATGGATAAATGGGTAAACAAGATGTGGTATGTACATACAGTGAAATAGATTTCAGCCTCAAAAAGAAAATTCTGACACATACTATAACATGGATGAACCCTGAGGACATTATGCGAAGTGAAATAAGCCAGTCACAAAAGGACAAATACTGTATGATTCCATTTATATGAGGTCCCTAGAATAATCAAATTCATAGAGACAGAAAGTAGAGTGGTGGGTAAAAGGAATTGGGGCAGGGTGAATGGGGAGTTATTGTTTAATGGATAGAGTTTCAAGTGGGAAAGAAAAAAATTCTGGAGTAGGAAGGTGGTGTTGGTCGCACAACAATGTGAGTGTACTTAATGCCACTTAAAAAGGGTTAAGATGATAAATTGTATGTGTATTTTACCACAATTAAATTTTTTTAAAAACGGAGGCATTCAATAAAAAAGTATGTATGTTTACATGCATATTATGTTTCCTTTACAAAGAAGCAAACAAGTAACATTTCCCTTGGATCAGCATTAAACTCTTACATGAAGTAATCAACCAATCCATCTCACAATTTTCAAATTCAGAAATTAAAATTAGCATAAAATATAGGCATTGGTTGATTTTAAAAATGAAAAGGTTTCGTTATTTGCCTGCAGACAGTCTGGAAATTTTTTAAAAAAATACCTTCCTAATGTCCCAAGACAAATGTGTATGAAGAAAAGAAACGTGGAGACTAACTTTAAAAATAACTTTAAAAAAAAAGTCTTTTAAAAAAATATCCTTTTAAAAATGGAATGCTATACAAGGAAAAATATTAAAGCAACCCATGGGTATAACAGGTCAAATGCAATTTCAACACTAGATAGCTGACTATTTTAGAAGGTCTATGAAACATAGCTGTGGCAGACATTAATCTGACTTACCCAGCATCTACTAGCAAACTCTTCCCCACCTGCTTTTTTTATTTTATTAGAGAGATTATTTTAAAAAAAACACCAAAAAAACACTAAATACACATTTTCTAGCATCTACTAGCAAACTCTTCCCCACCTGCTTTTTTTTTTTTTACTAGAGAGATTATTAAAAAAAAAACACACTAAATACACATTTTCCCAGCTTCTCTCACAAGTAATAGCCATTTGTCACATTATAGCCAATAACACACAAATGAAAATGTTTGGCCCTGCCCCTTCCCCTTTTATCTGTTTTAAGTGTGGATGTGATGGTTAGAGCTTTAGCAGCTATTTCACTGCCATAAGGAAAAGGCCAAAAGAATCAGCTTGGACCCTGGCCGGTTTGGCTCAGTGGATAGAGTGTCAGCCTGCGGACTGAAGGGTCCCAGGTTCGATTCTGGTCAAGGGCATGTACCTTGGTTGCAGGCACATCTCCAGTAGGGGGTGTGCAGGAGGCAGCTGATCGATGTTTCTAACTCTCTATCTCTCTCCCTTCCTCTCTGTAAAAAATCAATAAAATATATTTTAAAAAAAGAATCAGCTTGGTCTGATTTACTGACGTTATTGAGTTGCTGAACCAATTCCTGTAACTACCTACCTGAAGATTTCTAATTACATGAGGAAGATAATATCCTATTTGTTTAATTCACTAGTTAGTTGGGTTTTCTATTACTTATAGCCAAACACTAGGGTAGTAACACTGCATTGAGGAAAGAGGTTTTCCAAACATGCCAGTAGAAAATGCAGTGGAACAATCAATAGAGTGAAAAAGGAGAAGTGAATTGGACAGAACAAATTTTCACTTTATTAGAGAAAATGTGTACCCTAAATAGTAGTTGAAACAGATAGGTTGAATATACCAGGTAAAATAATTACAAATGCATAGGAAATTCTAAGCCCAGCTGACAAGGATTACAATAAAAGCAGGGGATGAGGTGAGGTGTGTGACAATGATCAATGAAGAATTGTGGGTGGACTCAGGGGTATTAGCGAGTCCGGTTAAGTCCTAACCAGAGCCTGGATGCTATTATAAAAACTGTATTCTTAAACAAATAAAACATAATGGCAGGAAGGCGATTAGTTTTTCAATTTCTCCAGTGCCCATTCTAGAGCCTCCTGTTCTTCCCAATGTCTGCCACGGGAAGACTTTATTTCCTGCAGATGATTCGTTTGGGGGCTTGAGAAAAAGAAGTTCATCCAATCAGACTTGCCCAAACCTCCCTTGTGTCCTGCCTTCCCACCCCCAAGCTTCCTCCGTGTCTAGACATCCACCAGAGGCCCCGTTTACCACATCAGAAGCCTTTTCTCCATCCTGGTCCTCTTGCTCTGCTGCAGGATGGTGGATACTGCTGACCACCTTCTTCTAGAAACTATTCTCCCTGGGCTTATATGACTTGTTCTTTTCTGATTCTTCTCATCCATTTAATTGCCCCTTCAGCCTCCTCTTTCTTCTCCCTTTTCTAAGTGGAGGTATTCCCTAAGGACCTCTCCTTGACTTTTTATCTCCTGACAGCCTCCTCACTTCTGCCCCTGGTTAGCTCATTCAATTCAACTCTGCCTCTCCTCCCCCACCTCTGTCCTCTCACTCCTGAGCTCCAGTCCTACCTGCCTGCCTGCCATTTCACTTAGATACCCTGATACTGCATCAAATTCATTATGTCCGGTTCTGCAGAACTCGTCCTCAGGTAGGATTGACACCTGAGCCTACCAAGAGACATTCTATCTGGGAAGCTCAACTTCCTTTCAGTCTCACAGTAAACAATCCATAATGTGTTCGGGGTAACTCTGCATCAGTTATTTGCACCCACTGAGCAAGCAAGCAGGTAGGCAGAGATTTTGAACAGGTGGGCAGAATTGGGGAGGTGTGTACAACCCCTATTCGAGTGCAGAGGTGAGCTTCTTGCCAACAGGGGACCCCTCCCGCTGCATGGGTGCTTTAGCAGCAACTGTGTCTCTCCAAAGGGGACTCTTGGAAGAATCAGAGAGCCTGTTTTATAGCTGGGAGCATGCTGCACTGTTTCCTGGTTCAAACAAAAAAGATCCTGAATCCTTTACGAACATTTAAAAAGTTTATATCCTTTAAATATTAATATTGGCAACTTTTTGTCAATTACAGCAGCCCTGTAAAAACCACATATCGTCTCTCCCAAACTGCCTCACCAACTACTTTCCCTATTCATTCTTCTCTGCACTTGGGCTAAAACCTAAGATGTCTCTTTTGCCCACATCAAGTCAGTTGCCAAGT